TTATCGTTAAATACTTCATCACACCATATTAAGTAATTCAATATCTTTACAGGAATTGGAAATTTCTTATGTGTTTATTAGTCGGCATTATGGCAAATATATGGGACGATCAGCTTCATGTCGTCACGAGCAGGTTCACAAGGGAAGGCACATTGTGGGACATTGTTTTCGGCAAATTGCAAAAACATAGGTCTGTAAATTACATATCATACAAGAAGTGCATACTGTCTGATATTTCTACAAACGGCTTGTGTGGCAAAGATGGAAAGAACACAAAGATGGAAAGAACACAAAGAAATGGTTACAAAATGAAAAAGTATTAAGAAAAACGAAATAAGGTAATCCTTGAGCAATATATTGCCCAGTGATTTTTCTCACTTTATTGGGAAGAGGCCTTAGCCTCTTGATTTTGGGAAAAATTATCGCTAAAATTGCTGATTTGGGAAGTAAAAAAGCTGGTTTGAGTTCAGATTTTTGGGAAAACTGCATGATTTTAAAGAAAATTTCAATTGGGAAGAGGCCTTTTTTCGGAGTCTGTTATATAAGTAGGAAAATCACTGATTGCCCTATTATTTACAGCGGCATACAATGTACCCTGTGTGTTGAAAAATGAAAGCATTACATATGTTCCTAAAAGGATTTAGTTGAAGTACAAAATTTCTTATGAGATCACATAATTTTTTATTATGAAACCTGGTTATAATAGCTGCAACACTGTTAAACATAACATGGAAGCCATATTTACATCAATAATCTGATAGTACATGTATTTCTAAAATTCTAATGTCAGTCAATGCGAAAGTCAAAAAAAATTTCCAGCCACAAGGACAGTGAGTGGGATCTTAGATTTATTTCCGGTCCTGATGATTTTTTCCCGGCCCGGACTCTGAAAGGTATTTTTTTGTAGGGGTGGGGGAGGGATATTGCCATAATTATAAACAAAAATATTTAGAAAATATGAATTATCAGACTCAACTATTAGATACTATGAAAAAAATATACAAAAACATATTAAATAAAACTTTAGTTTAATTCACAAGAAAACGATACATCTTTCAAAGGTTGGAGAAAAAATATGTTTTGGTAAGGAAATTATCCAAGACAAGATGGTGGCTTACATTACTTAGCAAAAACTGGTTGTATCTTGTGGTGATTTTGGTTATCTGGGTCTGTGAATACAAGCAAAAATGAAAAAAAAAGATTGATCTTAGAAGTTTTGCATATTTCAGAAGGCCAAAAATTGTTTCAAACTGGCTGAAATTTTATTCTGACATGAGGACTGACTGTATCGAAATTTATCTCGGCCCTCCTGATTTTTAGTTGGCTAGACTTTCGCACAGACTGTAATGTGTTTCAGTTGTTTCAGAGCAAACAACCATGGCGGATCAATCCCATTTCAGGCAGTCAGTTCGCGACAAAATCTGATTAAGCAACACAAGTTATTCACTCAATAAACTTTATTGACGTTTCTGCACGTGACAAAAATATCATGATATGGCCAAAACAAAGTCTGATGACCTAATAAGAGGCACTTTTGTGACAATGACTAGAACAAACAAAGTTTCACTGAGTTTGCTTTGATATTATACACTTTGATCAGTGATTACTCAAACCCTGACTATATATGTAGGCTCTTCCACATAGTACATTTGTGTTTCTTTTTGCCGGAATGGGAAGAAAGGTGATCAATCAGCATTGCCCTAGTTCGAAAAGCTTTGGGCAGATGCTGCAAGTTAGAGTGGGTTAGCATGGAATAACTTGTGTTGCTCAAGTTCAGATTTTGTCGCAAACAAACTGCCACATTCTTCGCACTGACTTTTGCTCCGCCATGGTTGTTTGATCTGAAACAACTGAAAGAAATTAGAATTTAAAAATACTTAACTATCAGTTTATTAAAGTAAATATAGCTCCCATATGTTGTGTTTAACGTTTTTGGAGCTATATTTACCGGGTTTCATAATATTTGTCCTCATAAATTTTGTACTTTAATTGTACCTATTTAGGAACATAATAATGCGTTAATTTCTCAACACAAAGGGTACATTAATTTGTATGTCGCTGCTTATAGCAGATAATTGGGCAATATATTGCTCCAGGTTTGTCAAATTTCTTTTTCTTAATAGCTTTTCTTTATTTACATGCAGTGATTTTTCTCACTTAATTGGGAAGAGGCCCTAGCCACTTGATTTTGGGAAAAATCATCGCAAAAATTACTGATTTGGGAAGTGAAAAAGCTGGTTTAAGTTGAGATTTTTGGGACGACAGGAAGCTGATCGTCTTCCATACGATTTGCCATAATGCCGGCAAATAAACACATAAGAAATTTCCAATTCCTTAATAAAACAACAACAACAAAAACAAAAAAAACAGACTTTATATCCAAAATAATTGACAATTTTATTTATGTAATTGAAACATATATTTTGCTGGTGAAATAAGTTCTATATAATGTACATGTTTGTATTTTATATTTGTATTTTAAATACTTTTACGCTGATGTACATGTGTGTTATCAAAGCAAAATACTATTAAGATGAGAATTTATAGCAAGCAAACTTAATTCATTTAATTTAATACTTCTTCCTACTTTTCACTTTCAAATATCATATTTAATAAAAAGAATAAGGAAAGTGAAACACACGAAACAAAGTGGGTCAGGTTTCTATAATTTTATTAAAATATCATATTTGTATGATTTCAAAGACAGGAAGCGAGAAACAAGCATAATTCAATGAAAAATTTGACGAAATAGAACAGGCAATAAAATCATTCGGCCATTGTACTCATTGAATTTGGTTCGGCCATTGTACTTGTTTTTAAAAAGATGCACAACTTCGTTATGCAACTTTAAAAAGGATGGAAATTATTATTGACGGGCAAACTTCCAATTATGCACAAGATGTCATTGCAGCATGATTGCTAATTTTGCTCAAAATGCGTTTTTTTTGCTGAAAACAACTTTTTTTAGTATGTGTTCGGCCAACTTTTTCGACATTCAGGCCGCAACAGAGAGAGCTACAAAGTACATCCTCTTGATGTGGTAGACATTTGTGCCAAGCAGTGATTGACAAAGTTACAGTCCAGACACAAATGAAGAGGGGATACACAGAGACAGAGTGTGCGAGGGGGTGTGTGTGTGGGGGGGTGGCATAAAAATAGTGCGTACTGTGTAGAAGCGTGTACTGTGGTAAATTAAATCATGCAACCGAGTCATTCCCCTTTACTTCCGGTTACATAAATGTAAACAATAGGTTGGCTACATAACATAAATTGTTAACAAAATGAACTAAAAGTGGGCAAATTGTATCCTGGCTGCAAGACGAAACAGTCATAGTAAATGATCCTGAGATTGGGTTTCAAAGACAGTCTATCACTGGTGGCACATTTCTTTAACAGGTATAAACCATTTTTCAGCTAACGAAACAATGAGGTGACCGATCATACACTCCTTTTCACTAATAAATGGGACCAATATAAAGTATTTAAAACACTAAAATTGAGTATTGTTTATTAAATATTCATTATTTTTAACCGTTTAAAAGCATTTCAAAAAACATTATTAGCGAATGAAAAGCATCGGCACAGGTCTGTTGTTTTTTTTTCAGCATCACAAATTCTGCCATACACTTCTATTATTAAACACAATCTGTACAAGTTGTTAATCAAGATATTCAACTAAGTTCAGTTAGTAGACATGTATCAAATTAAACACTTGAATAGAGAAATAAAATTGAATTGACCATTTATTCAGAAACATTTTGTCCAAAGGGTTCAAATGAAAAAGTGCTTTATAAATTATAAAATCTTGCATCTAATTTACAAACTCATCAATATCTTTTTCAATACATATTGGCATAAAAAAGGCTTGTCATTTACTGTATCTAGAAATATTTATTAATTTATCTTAAACTATACAAAAACATTATTTATGTCAATGATATAATTATTTAATTACCTCCCGTTATTCATGCATTTTTTTATATTTACAATTATATAGTGCATTAATTCATAATGTATCCATTTGGTTTAAAATTTATTTTGAACATAATGCCATAACTTAAATAGATAATAGATAGATAATTTTTATTTTATTTTAAAACTAATGACAGTGATGTTTCTAAATTATTATCTCCCTTTTTACAATTTTAAAATGTGATTAAAGCAATTTTTTTTTGAAATTCTAAACTTTCACATAAGTAACTGTTATTTTCATACTTGTTGAATTTATTTATTAGCCTAGTTTCTCTATGAAAATGTATGTATACTTTGATCCAGTTTTTTAATAAATGTATTGTAATCATTTTCGAAAATTTTATATGCTATTTAAAGTAATTATGTCTATATAATTATACAATTGCACATGTTTTATTGTATAAAACAGTAATAGGCATCTTATTATCCCCCGCCAATGGAATAGGGAGGGGGATCTTGTTTTGGCACTGCCTTCCAAATTCCGTCCAAATTTGGTTTCCGCACTAGTTCTCGGTAACTACTGGCTGGAATTCGACAAAACTATATGGGAATCATCAAAATCAAGAGGAGATGGCTGATGCGCAAATCTTCGGCTTGTTCCAGTCAGACCCTTTAACTCAGAGTTATGGCCCTTGATTAGTTATGCAGTATGCTTTTTGGGATGTTGATCATAGCCCATCTATGATAACATTAAGTAATGATGGAACAAAGTCCTCTGTTACCTTCAAGCATAACTTAGTTTAGTAACAAAATCATACATGCAGTTGGAAGTGTTTATAGGTCTTGTAAAATTAATCATGTCCTAAATATTACAAATAATTATAATTTATTTTGTCAACGAAAACCCTACGGTAAACCTGCTTTAATACCTCACCAAGCCTTCCTCACTCAGAGTCAGTCCTTTAGGCTTTAATTTTCAAATAGAATTAAAATTTATTTTAAAAACAATCATATTCAATATTATTGTATGTCTTGTACAGTAAAACCTTTGTGGAATTTGTCTCGAATTATACAAATGTTTTACTTACTAGAGACGCAATGTACGTAGATCAATGTTGCTGCAGATAGAAGAAATGGGCACCAATAATTCATCTCAACATTTGCGTTGTTTACTTCGCCATTATTTACATCACGCGCCAGCGAGTGAATCTTAAAATTGATGACGCAGCTGATGACGTCAGGAGTTTTAAAAGGATAGTTTTACTTTGCTAGACCTGCCTATACACGGTGATAAGGCGTCTACCACAATTTTTCCGCGCAACGTCAAAATATCATATATACTTCTGCCCGAGACATAGTACATCTATAGTTTGCAAGGAGAGGAGAGTGATTTTGATGGCAATGTAACGATTCGTCACAGTAACTCAGGGGCGTAGCTAGGGCTTGAAAAATTATACGCAAATCGAGGCACAAAGTACCGAGAGGGGGAGCGTGCGGAGGGGGTGTCCCCCTCCCGCTGGTAGGGGTACGGGGGTCTCCCCCGGAAAATTTTGAAAAATTAGATGTTAAATCGTGGGCTCTGGCATGTCTCGAAGCACCTTTTGCACGTAAAGCATGAAGCATTTTCAAGCCATTTTTCCCCATAAATTGATAAACATATAGCTGCTTGTTTTACTTTCTAACTTATTTCATTATAACTTCGAACAGATTTATAAAGAAAAAAGGCAGTGTACGCCTTGTAATTTTCTTATAAACATACACAAAAATGTTTCCATGTGAAGTTTAATTAAGGATGCAGGTCATGAAAATGTTCTATGTATGAATGCACGTTCAATTGTAAAACGCATTTAACCAGATAACAAGTGTTTTTAGCATTTCTCATCAAATCAGTTTGATAAGAACAGCTTTTCTCTTAAGCCTTCAAGTCTTATTATCCAAGTGTATGTATTATTTCCAAATGCACAAGAAAAATTGTACTTTGAGAACACTTCTATTCTATCGTAAGAAAGTAGGGAAATTACCAGATACAACGGGATATTAAATGGTCTAATGATAACTCCATAGGTCTCCTCAGGCGGTGATGCGAAAGTAACAGACTTACTCATAGATATATTTTGTTGCCCACAAAAAAATATGGCCGACTCTTGTGATGGATTTCATGTGTTCTTTTGAGTGTGTGTGTCCATCAACGACTTTTCTTGCGTTGCTCCAGTCAATCAACGGACGAGCAACAACCACATTTTCAGCTGCATTATATATAGGCAAAAAATACCCAATCAAATAAAGGGATGTACGTACCTTAAGTAGATGGGTGTTTATTCGAGTTCTCCGAGAGGTGCAACCCAACCTGTATGTGGCTCGAACCGCTCGGTAAGGACAACATTTTTTTAGAATCTGGCATTCTTAGTCGGCTTCTGATATTAATACTTCCGAAATCCAGGAATCGTGCTCCCTGGGAGCTTCTAGCGGTTCACGAGGGGAGAAGAAGTAGGGGGAGACAAAGAGGGGGAGGTGGGCGGAGAAGAAGACAGAGAAGGAGACGCGACATTGGCGTCTGATTTGCTGATCACAGGAGGGTCACATGCTAGGTCTTGTGAATTCTGTTTTGTTTCTGCCATCAACTTGAATGGCGTCCCGTTTTAGGACCATAATAAGGGTCGCTTGTCCTGGAATTTGGCGGATGTTTCTTTTCATTTTGACAACTAATTACACACCAAAAATTAAATTTTGCCCCGAGTTGATGATTTTTGAAATATTGATCTAGAACTAAAAAAAATAAAGTTGTTTTAAAATAGAGCTATTCCAAAGGAAAGGATTGGTCTAAATCTTTGAAAAAAGTCTTAATAATCTTTATTTCCAACGATAAGTTATTATGAGCGTAGTTTGTAGATAAGATAATGCTGTGCTTTTCATTTGTCTCTGTGCAATAAGTTTGTAAATGCTCTTAAATTCCTATTGTACATATATTACAATAATTAGTAGAAACGTCATACGATAGAGGGATGCAATCATAATTACACTTAGTAGTAAACAGTATGACGCAACGAAATATTTTGTAGATAGAAATGGAGATCTAGATCTATTGCTGAGTAACCATTCGTCACAAATCGATTCGCCACAGAGTATTAACGTTTCGCCACATGTTAAAAATACAAACTTTTTCACACATATTCTCAAACTTTTTATGAAACCTCTTTTCTATTTTATATTTCATTCGTAAACTACATAAATTAATGTTGAAAATTATACTAAAACATCTTTTATTGAATAAAAACCCATGAAAACAAACATATTTTATCCAAGGGGTCGTACAAAGGATAAATAATAAAGATTGAAAATATATTTGTGAAAAAGATTCTACAATAAACCACGGACTTAAATTGATAAATCCGTGAATAAACTAACCTTCCACTTGTGTGAAACTTTCAGTTTAATCGACAATTTCTCAATTTCTGTACTGTAACATTTCAACGACGGGTGTACGCACTATCCAGAATCAAAATCGCATTCAACGAGAACTACTGACAAGAAAGGGAAGACTTGTGTCAACTTCAAGTCATTTGGAATATTAAAACTAGAAGTATGGGGATCTTCTTTGCAAAAGAAATTAAATTCAAATCTATTCTGTTTGCTTTACATGACTCGTTTTTGCTCAAAATACCGGTTGAAAAAGTGTTCGCGGTATCAGAATTTTGAGGATGCGCGCGCATGGTATGAACACCTGAATAAAGACTATCAAAATTACATAACATGCTCATTGTCAATAAACCATAGCTGGGTAGCTCTATACGAAGGTTTATCTTGAGGTCAAAAAGTCGTTAGAAAGGTGGCTGCCACTCTGTCAAATAGGGACTCTCTCAGTTTTTACATTTTTATCTGGTATTTCTTTTACAAGTACCATTAATGCCTTAAAATGTAACATACGTTACAGTTTTCAACTTTGAAATTGTGTTTCAGAGAAATAAGTTCCAGAATGATTAAAACATGTGCAATTAGTCATTTCTGCGTGTATATACACTTTAATTATTAATAAAAAATATTTGACTGTTAAAACCTCATTGAAATAATGAATGATCAAATGTCACCAAATGCATATAAATAAATAGTGACAAACCTATTTAAAACAATCAGAAGCATTTATAAGAGACATTCTATAATTGAATCGATGCATTCTTAATAATACAGCATATAATATAATTATAATCAAAAATAGAATTGTGGAGTCTCTTAAATATCATTCTGTTTTCGGAAATTTTCATTTTTTATTCAAATCCTTTCAACAGCATTTTAAAAAGAAACATACGCTACCATAATGGCATTGTTTAAGAGCTAATCCATTCAAGGAAGACTCCAAACAAGAAAGAAAATTAACATGTGAGTAACTCTGGTGGAAAGTTGAACAATTTGAAAAAAAGCTGCTAAATACAACATTTGTGTATGCATTCGACCTCTCATATATTACATATGTATATATGATATTTATCCTTTGAAGGAAAACATAAAATAATCATTTCCAAAATTGACTCTTTTTGCTTTTTACGAATATTTAACTTCGAAGAAATTAACTGAAAATTAGCAAGGTACCCAACTTCCTTGAATTTTCCTGGGTTAGAAAGTATCTTTAGATAGAGAATTTACAGATATTTGATATATTTTACAGACATTTGTTATTTATATGCAGCCAATATGTTACAATATTAATTAGATCTGAAATCTACGTTACCGTGGAAATACAGTGTCAATATCGAAATAAATGCAAGCCTGTTATTTTATAGTTTCTTGTTGAATATATTTCTGGCAAACTTGCATAATACCCTAATAAATTACACAATGACAGCATCAAACTTTTAATATTTTCCATCCTCAAATGCTTCATTTTAATGAGAATGAGCGAACACAGTGTAAAGAAGTTAACATAAAACCTGGAAAATTATACTAAATACAGCTTTTATTGAATAAAAACACATTTAAACAAACATAATTAATTTCCAAAATTACAAAACACATTGAAAATTAGTTAACATTTGTTAATAATATAACCTGGAAAATTATAGTATATACAGCCCTTTTGTAAATAAAAACACAAAAATTACAAAACATATTGTAAATCAATTGACATTTGTTAATAATATAACTTGGATACAGTTTTTTTTTAATAAAAACACACGAAAACGAACATATTTCATTACCAAAATTACAAAACACATCAAAGACAAAGTGACTTAGTCCAACGCTCTACCTACTGAGCTAACCGTATGACTCTTAAGTATCTGACGCTGACCGAAAGAAGGTCACGGTCATGTATCCTTTTAATCAGCCAATCAGTGGCCGCTTTCGCGTTCACGAAAATGGAGCACTTCAAAAACCAGACTCGTGTAATGCGAAAGACATTACACTTGAACAAAAATGACGATGCACTGTGGCATTTTTTAGATAAGTGACCTGGATTTAACGCATTGATACCGGAATTGGTAGAATCTAATGTTTCGCAGAAATCATATTCTAAATGGCTACTTTAAATTTTTTCTGAGGCAAATTCAATTCACGGATGACATAAATAATTCTCTGTAAGGTTTGCTAAAATAACCTATTCAGAAAATCCAATTCGGCTAAAAGTCGAAAATGAGTTACTGTCGACAGAGTCTTTCAAATAGAATGGTCTGGAGTCGGACCAATTTTACGAAAAAAGTTGTCTCGGCTGAGTCTATTTGAAAGACCCTGCTGGCGGTAAGATTTACATTTAACATAAGAAGATAGGAAACTTCAGTCAGATTGGTATGGGAACAGGCCGGGCGATTCAAGCACGGTGCAGGAAAGTGTCAACTGGTTTACATATTATTTGTTTGGGTCGTATGACCACACAAATAATGGTAGCGGAATTTCAGACCCTGATACTCTTATTTGCAAAATCCGAAAGTAGTCCATTCCTCGAAGCGGTTCCCTTTATAAGTACACTAACGCCGAAAAATTCAAGGGAGATCACTGCGTAAAGATTGTCAAATGACAGGCGCATTAATTTTCAAGCCTTCTCGGGGAATAAAAAATAGTTCCCGATTTGTCGAAGATTTCTAATATTGTGTTATTCTTTACAGAAATTCATGCTTATATTAAGCTCCATGATTATTGCTCCGCGCCCACAGGCGCGGAGCTATTTGTGTTGACTTTTTTGTCCATGGATCCGATTTTTATCAATTAATCACTTCGATTAACAGCAAAAAATAAATTCGGAATCAGGAACTCCTTCCGATTTCTATTATGTAATGTCATATGTTCGTTTTC